GCGACGAAGAATCAAACGCCTACAAAGCGAAGTTCACAAAAAGAGCGTCGCATTTTTCACTCGCGAATTTGATGCCACCATCATTCCTCCTTTTGAGGTGTCAAATATGGTAAACCGAAAAACACGAAAGATATCTCGCAAAACCGTTCGTAAAATGCTCTGTTGGGGCCACTATCAATTTCGCCAACGTCTTGTGGCTAAGGCAGAAGAACTAGGTGTCCGCGTTATTATCCAAATGAGGCCTACACTTCGAAAACTCGCAGTTGGTGTTGGGAACATTCAAAATAGGAGGGTCTGAGATGTACAAATGCCAAAATTGCGGAACTGTAATGGATCGAGCCTTGATTCTCTCCGGAGATCATGCAGGAAATAGTAGTAATTAGTAATGCCCACTATTGATGTGTTAAATCCATCCGCATTCATGACAATAAATATCATTTATTCACTTCTTCTCTCCTCTAATCAGTACTACTATTATTTTGTTCAAATATTAACTCTTGTTCATCCTCAGATTTTTAACATGCAGATATATACAACATTGCTGGCTGTAAACCAAACGTGCCTTTCACTTTGGTTTATTGATCCGAGTCTCCAGAGGGCGGCTGTCCTCCGGCATTTCCTCTATCGGATTTATCGGCATTGGCAAATTGGCTTGCTCTATAAACAAAAGATGACATGAATATATACATAATTTGAATGCCGTGTCATTATACAAGCACATGTCACAAATACTTACAAATTCCTTAGTTCGGGATTATTCATTAGCTCTTGCATGTTGGGTGTTGAACCACCTTGCATCATGTTCTGTGCCCTATTGTTTTCATCAAGCATCAAAGATCAGAAGATGTTTCAACAAGACACAAAGCTGTGCCAATGACACAAACAAAACGTAACATCGCGCTCTAAACGTAGCAGTCATACTGACATTGACGCCAAATTGGGATTGTTTAGCAAATCATTAAACGCCCCTGATCGCATCATCTGCGAGGCCATGTTCATAATGGCTGGGTTATTCATTAGATTAGCGAAGTCCAAACCACTTCCACCCTCACCAGCTCCTCCAAGACCAGCGAGATTCGCGAGATTCCCTAATCCGCCTAATCCGGCAGAAGGCATTCGTGGTCCACTACTCGCGCCTCGAGAACCTTGTCCTTCAAGTTCGCTAGCCTTTTGTTCAGCATTGGCAAGAGCTTTCTTCATTGTTGCATTATTCGGATCAAGAGCCAACCCTTTTTCGTAAGCTTCGATGGCTTCCTTGTATTGGCTCTTTGAGAAATACGCATGTCTATGAAAAGATCGCACATGGTGAGTAGGAGTAAATGATGGTTCGTTATATAAAGTCATAAATGAATAGATCATCACCCTAGTCTACTGTATGCTTTGCTATAAGATGGATCGACTTGAGTCGATTTTAGAGCATCCTGAATGGCTTCATCGTGATTGTTCATCTGACTATACGCTGCAGCTCTAAGAAATATATGCCGTTACCATTAGATATTAGCACACAAACTGCTAAGTAACTGACAGCATCGCATGCTATTCTACCTGTTTGCGTAATAAACAGCGTTCATGGGGTTTATACTAATAGCCTCACTATATAATTGAACCGCTGCGGCAAAGTTCTTCTCGGTAACATTCTTGTTACCTGTGCGAAAAGAAAAAAACGTAACAATGTTAGTATTAAAGGCAGAAATTCTGTCAAGACAAAATGTATAAGCGGCTTATTGTCATCTTGCATGATTTCATATGCACCTACCTTCGGTTTTTAACTCTTCTGCTTTTTGTTTCTGTTCTTCAGTGAGAGCTGACTGCAATACAAAATGATGACTTCATTTAATTTATCAAGAACCGTTGATTGCATTAATAAATCGACAATGACAGATTTTTCAGTCTATCCATCCTAAGACTATTCATATACCTCTAACTGGAATGGAGCCGGCTCAAGCTCAACGTCTTTTCGTTCTGCTCGACCTTCAGCTGAACAGTCGCATAAGAACAGAGAATTAATTTATAATGATCCTTCAATCGATAATTCCTCCTGTGTATTCAGACTACGATCATCCAATACGTTGGTATAGAATAAACACAATGTTTATTGAAGTAGGTCTATAATAGATCGTACCAGTTGACGACGAGGAAGTCGATGAATCAGTCGACGCTGCTTGCCGGGAGCTCGAGCCCTAAGGGTGCAAATGTAAGTTTAGAACAAGAATGCAAAGCACGTTCTTTGTGTGAATAGCCTACCTGTTTACTTGATAGTTTCTCTTCAACTTGTAGAGCTATACTAAACAACGACAGTAGTGAGCGCTTAGTTGCATATTTAGCTTGATGCTCCGGATTGTCAGCGTCCACACCAAAAGCTTCCCCGATGCACTGTACTATTATTATAAGACGGGAATACGTGAGCGAGCGAGTCGAATAGCGGCATATATTTCGAGTCAGAATACTGAATAACATACCGGCCACTTCTATACTCTCTCTGCCCTCTTCATTAATAGTTCCGTCTTGAATAGAGCTTTTGAGGAACTGGAGAATTGCGTATACCAGTCGCTGTTTCTTGATATCTGCCATCGTGAGTTTGGTAGCAGTCGGTAGGTGGGCAGATTTGTCCTTGCGGTCACGCAAAAAAATGTCCAGAAATTTCCATCTTAAAATAGACTACATATAAGAAACTTTAATATTGCATTATACATATAATTGCGGGTTAGTATTAGTATTAGTATTAGGGAATTTAAATTCCCAAAGAAATATTATTTGCCCCAAAGTCAACGGATTGTTGGATAGATAAATGTAAATGTAAATATATATTCACTCATTGTCAACTGTAATTTAAGTTACTTATTTAAAACTTGGAAAACACGAAACGCGGTGTTTGTTCACATTCGCGTCGAAATTAAGGAACCCAACTTCCGCAAGTAAAGAATGCGGGAGTTGGTAACATTGGAAATATGCTGACAGAATCTGATTCCATAGAAGTGTAATGTATAAATAAAATATTAACCCCAATTTAAAACTTGTCTTCTCCGATATTAAACAAAAGTTTCGTGGATTGTCTATAGTCATTGGCGACGAAGCCTGCTATTCCTAGCCAATGATATTACCGAAAATATTACAATTGGCTAATTAAATGTAATAGCGATAATTCCTAAAAGTAAGTCGGTACATTATTGAGAGATTATCGTTATGATATTAATATTGACTTTGTAAAGCTGGTGTCTCCCGTGTGTTTTTTGTCTTCAAATTTTTCGCCAATCATACATCGTTGCATATTCGACGCGTCAGTTGATATGTAAAACATAACTAAATTGATGGTCGCGTGATAAATGCAAAAGATCCTTAATAATCTTTCGTTCTCTTATGTAAAAAGCAAGCAAAATGTCTGCCATTGCGTCATTCGATTCGCTATATAACAGTATAATCGCCACGAATTGGCAAGAATGGTTATTAGAGAACTCGTCAGATCGAGGACGCCTTCTGAACCTACTTCGAACCCAATATTACACATTGGATCCCTTGGTATCAGCCACTGTAATAACTTTTGGAATAGCAATCATCTGTTGGGTACTGGCTGTTTTAGCTAATAACCATTCTCAGGTAAGCGAGGAACGCCTAAAGCGGTTCTTGCATTGAGCACATGTTGTTAAAATGGGTAATAATACACAGGCGTTGTATAGGTTGATAGACTATGGAGTATTACTCCAGTCCTCTTTTCTTGGCATTTTGCACTCCATTCGTTTATCACGGAGAGTAATGAGTTGAGTGTACGTGGAGTCATTATGAGCGTGTTGAGTACCCTCTGGGGTATAAGGCTTACTTATAACTTTGCTCGAAAAGGAGGATATAAATGGTCAAACGAAGGTATGTTGCTAGGTTTAATCTTCAATTTTGTTACAAAGATTTATTAACATTGTTTAATATACACAGACTATCGATGGTCATATGTGAAGAAGGGCATCCCTCGACCATTCTTCGAAATTCTTAATGTTGTGTTTATCTCACTCTATCAGAATTTTTTATTAATGAGTTTAACTCTACCAGTATATCTAGTCTGTTCTATTGGAGGTGATGGCCCATTGAACTGGATTGATGTAGTTGCAGGTGTCTCGTTTAGCTTATTCTTCGTAGGAGAAACTATAGCTGATCAGCAACAATGGAAGTTTCAAAACGAAAAGCACATAATAATCAAAGCAGCAGCCAAGAATACTAACGGGCCGAAGTTGTATGACGGTGACCTTGGGTTGGGTTATTTAACTCATGGTCTTTTTCGATATTCAAGGTAACAGATGCTTTAACTATAAGGAAAGGTGCTACCTGGATGATGGTTACTTTGAATAGTGAGATAACTATATTTTGACTTATACTTGTTTTTGACAGACATCCTCATTACTTCTGTGAAATGGGTCTTTGGTGGAGTTATTACCTCTTTGGCGTTGCTGCAACATTACAGCCTAACACTTGGATCCAAGCATTATGGTTCAATTGGACCATGGTTGGTGCAGTCAATTTGACACTTTTGTTCCAAGGAAGCACACTTCTGACTGAAAAAGTGAGTAATTCACAGGTGGAGTCATGTTAACAGTTGTTGAGCGTATTCAGTATGGCTAACACTAACGGAATTTTCTTGACTGTGAACAGATCAGCATGGGTAAGTATCCATCATACTGCAAATACAGAAAAATAACCAGTAGATTTATTCCATGGTTTCCAGGAGAGGACATTAGTCCTGGGAAGGAGAAAACCAAATAATTTGATGTGATCGAGCTTACGAGAAATTGTGATATTGCTTAACCTTTAGATAGAATGCGAAATCACTAAAAAACTTGTATCATGATGTGTGACACATCAATTTGTAAGAAAATCAAATATTCCTGGTATATTCTCTGGGCAGTTAAACATTTAATTTAGGGAATTTTTGCAGCACTGAAAAGTTAGGCATTTGTCACAATTCCAACACCTTAGTGCTGTACCTGTAGTAATGTAAGTATGATGCAAATGTATTAATTAATATCTGCCGGCCACACAGACCTGCAATACTGGTAGGATACCTGGTTAACATTTTAAGTAGTGTCAACAGGCATTTTGAGTATGCATAGTATCGTTGATAATCGGACTGATTTATAGTTCTGGCCCGTCGGGATTGCTAAGAAAAGTCTATTCCGCGATTGTCCCCCGAAGATAATGTATCTGTACATTATCGCAAAGATCATGTAAGATACAGATGTGATTGCACCACAATAATCTCGCATGGTATTCGCAAAAACTAACTTTTTGGTTCATCATAATAACAATAATAGAAATAGTCCCAAAACTTTGTTGATCTTATGTTTGTTAAAATCGATTACTAACATAAGAATGCCGGGAACTCTTATTTGTCATTTATGATGTCTCAATGGTTCCTCTATCTCTTTGATTCTGACGCCAAAATTGAGCTTTATATAATTCGTGTGGTAGTCATATTGAGTTGGAGACTCACGATTTAAGCTCCTGCATATGTTTCAGCTGATAATTTTCGAACGACAAACACATTCTGTGGTGTAATCCTTACACCGCCTAGTGTTAGGTCATGAATATTAAAATCTTTAGGATCACCTCCATTGTTCCTTGATTTATAGAATAGGTTACCGCACACTTGATGAATAGAGCATTCAAGCCAGCAAGAACCAAACAATGCAGTTCTTGCTTCAGAAAAAAAGAGTGAGTACAACTATTACTATGGCTTTCATAGAAACGCACAAATAGAACAGGTTAAACATCCACAAATCACTCTTATTGTCAATGGTTGAAAGAGTTTCACATCTAATCGTTTTGAATTAGCAACTTTGGGGGAACATCAACCCACTCAGTCTCATTAACCCGTTTGTGATCTTCAATCATTCAGTTATCTCCTCGAATAACAAGTCAGTACGCCAAGTTGCACAATATCTGTGTACGATTCATAAATGTCCGCGTCTGATATTAATACTAACTCGTACACAGTAGTAAGACTGACTTCACAAGTAAATTTGATGACGAGCAAACTTAGTAGTTTTGAACGCGCAGAATTTTTGGGGCGCTGTGTGAGTTTGTACAAAAGGAATGCGGATTTTTTTGAGAAACAAAGATCCATGGGACTCTAAGGATAACAACAGCTGCATGCAAGAAGTACGATCATTGTATGCGCACTAGCATGTTGCAATCGACCCTACCACTGGTACGGGCATTCGCGAGATGATACCAAAATCTGTATCAAGAACAAATTTGTCGATACAAAAGAAAAAGGGGAGGTGTTTTAGCGTGACGAACAACCATTGTCGAAGCTAATTAATGGTGAACCAATTTTTCATAATGATAAAGCGATACAAACAGCCATTCAACGATATTTGCGAGTTTCACAAGTGAATTGGATCGGCGGTATCGTATGCCACATTTATATTCAATGGAATAATTAGTTTACTTTTTGGATTCTTGTTATTGGAATGCCGAGATCATTTAAGCGTAAAAGTTTTCAATAACAAGTTCCTTAACCGCATCCAAAAGCACGAAAATCAATGCAATGCGCTGGACTCTAGCCCCATGCAATGCAGCGCCAATTACATTACGCTTGCATACACTACGAGAAGCAAATGACTGAGGGTAAGATTGGATAATACTAATATAACCAATCGATTGACCATCCAACGTTTCACAGTTTTCTAATGATGCAATACTAATACGAGAAAACATGAATGAGTTTCTTATTCTAGTTTTAAAAAACTTCCCCGCAAGTAAAAAGAATCGACGAGTTCCAAGTTCACTCGGATAATGAAACAACCCAAACGTTAATACTGTATGTCAAACTAATGTCCGGTTTGTGGAATCGTTTATTAAAAAACGCATGTCCTACATAAAAGTGTACCCTGTTTTTTGACATAGATTTTCATAACAAATTGCCATAACCGTACGCACATTAAAAGAAAACACAGTTTCGGCAAAATCGGTAATTCTAATGTTGTTCTAAATAATTAGTGTCACGCCGAATTATATTTATTAACATTAACAGTACAATGCATGGACAATTAATATTAATGCGTTTGTATGTTATCACGTGTGATTATAAATAATAAGATGTCTCACATAATATTAACGTGAGACGTGCACGGAACTTGCTGATCCTTTCGTTCATCAAGTTAACCGTTGAAGAACTAGTATATGACAGACGACAAGTACTCACCCACAAACGAAGAGTTTGGAATTGACGACATCGTTGTTAATTCTAACGACGTCAACTACAACAAACGTTCGGAAGGACTTTCAGAGGATTCCAACGAATTCAAGGATCCGCCCGCAGATGGAGCCGGAGATTATGATTCCATCAATAATATCAAGTTACCATTCAACTCGTCAAGCCTACTGGCCGAAAATGGCTCAGTTGTTTCGAATGGCCGCAAACAAACTGACGCGACAGACTTGAGATCTAACAGACCTAAACGTAACAATCGCTGGAATGCTGCCCCACCACCCAGGAACTCTCAAATGACGTTAAAAGAGCAAGAACGGGTTAGTGCTATCTCACTTTACCGGCAATTATTGGTCCATACTGTTTTTACTAAAGTTTATATGCGCGTCTTTTTTAGGTTATAGATGAAATAAAGAAAGAAAATTTTGATTTGAAAATGAAGATTTATTACTTGGAGGAAAGATTAAGTAAAATGGGACCTGATGAAGTGGAAAGAGCTTCGAAAGAGATAAGATTTGACGAAATGGAGAGAGCTTTGAAAGCGGTACGCTGTGACTGGTACCTTTGTTTTTGCTACTTAACTTTGACACGTATAGCTTTACCTCCCCAAGTGATCCTCACATTTGATAACATTACAGCAAATAGCAAGTTTAAAAAGTCAATTATCCGAACGAACTGATGAGATTGAGGAAGCATATGCAGAATTAGAGCGTATGAGAGGTCGTCCTGCTAGCGTGGCGTCATCGCGCGAGTCTTCCTCGCGATTACTTAACGGAGAGTTTAGTAACCAATATGAGGAGGTAGCTCAGTTTTATTTGTCTGATGTAGCTAAATTTCGTTTCCTTTACCTAACAATAACAATTGTTAATTAGAACCTTGCACAGCTACGTGACAAAGTTGCCGAGCTGACTCTTCAATTGCGAGAAAAGACTATGATGGTTGATCAACTGACTCTCGAGTTAGAAGATCTGAGTATTGCACACGAGAATGCAATGCAGGAAGTGGAAGAGGATTGGGATAAAGCTGAAAGTCAATTGAGAAATGAAAGTGTGATATTAAGAGAGGTCAGGCGTACAACACCATTTTTTGTTTTCTTATTATCGATTTCTAGCAAACATACTTATGTTTAATTATGCCCTTACAGGAAATCGAGCAGTTACAACAAGAATACGACCAAGCTCTTCAGGAGCTTGATATAATGCACCAGAGCCGTCAAGAAGATGAAGCGCGACACCAAGAGGGTGTAGAAAATATAAGAGTACAACTCGAAGAAAAGGCTCAAGAGATATCAGACTTACAGTTGTCACTCGAAAAAGTAAGTATGAGTGTGCTGCAAGGGACACTGGAACTTTATAACGTTTTTGTCTGGGTCACACGTTGTTGTCGTCCTTCTAACGATAACATATGGACTTCTTGCAGGCTAAAAGACAGACTGATAATAAAACAAAAGAAATCCAAGACGTGACAGAGAATAACAAGAAGGTTTGTTCAAGTGCTTGTGTATGCTTTCGCTTTTCATACCTTTATTAACAGTCTTAAAAAACTACTGTTATTAGTTGAAGCTCCAAATAACCGGTCTGGAGAGAACTGTGTATGAGAAGGAGGAAGAGATTCAAGAATTACAGAGTCAATTACAATCAAACGTAAAAGAAGCTGAAATAGAAGATAAGTTGCGAGAAGAAATGATATCCAGTTTGAAAGAGGTACAGTATAACAAAATATCATTCTACGTGTGAGTTTTTTTTCCTAGTAAAACGGTAATACGGTACTCAATCATTATTTCTCATGGTAACACATAGAAACTCGCACAGAGCAAAACTAAAGTGGCTGAATTAACGGCCGCACAAGCAAGCAGCTCAAAAGAAATAGCTTATCTGAAACAAGAAGTGGAGAATTATAGTGCGCGGGTTTCAGAGTTGGAAGAAGCGAATAAATCAAGAGAAAGTCACGTTATAAATGAGAAGCTCAAAGAAAAGGAACTGCATGATAAAGAATTAGAAAGACTTCGTAAAGATAAGAAAGAGCTCGAAAAAATAATAGATGATCTCAATGAGGTATATTTGACTAAATTCTATGTTACCGAATTCAAATTGATGATAATAAATAATTGTCTTTGCTTGATTGCAGCAATTATTGGCAGCACAGCGACGAATTGCTGAACTGGAGATGGCAATACAAGAACGTGATGGAGATCTTCAATATGTCCGACAGCAGCTTACCAACCAGACCAATAGAGCTAAAGAGAGTGCAGAGAGATATGGAAAAGAGCAAGAACGATTGCGTACAGTCAGTATTTCACTAAACAAAGTCTTTGAATATTTTCTTAATTTAGGCTGAGCGTTATCAAATTTTTAGGAGTTGGATGCTCATCGGCGAGATTTGGAAAGCCTCCGTTCACAAGTCGAGTCATTAAATGATGAGGTGGAAAATAAGAAAAATATAATTCTTGAACATGAAAGTGAAATCAAACACTTGGTAAGATACCTGTATGTTGTTAAGCACTTGCCGATATTTACTCACATCTGAATTCATCCTTAGAATGCTCAACGCACGAAATTGAACGATAAACTTGCAAATACGGAGAATACACGAACGAAAGCTGAAGAAACGTATAGAAATATGCAAGAGGTAGAATGGTTGCATCTCATACTTGCGTTCAATTTGGCGGGAGAACGGCTTTTTATATATTCGTTATTATTAGGATATGCGCAACAAGGATTCGACGATTGATGAACTTAAAACACGGATAACCCAACTTGAAGATAATTTGTCACAAGAAAAGAAGGTAACCAACGAGTAGATGAAATTTTGTTAAGATACACAAAATTTTCTTAACATTTCTGCATATATCATAGCATTCCGTCGAAGTGCGAACGCAACTTGATGAAAAGAACAAGAACATGGATTATGAGAGAGAAAGAGTAAAGAACCTCGAAGAACAGGTATGATTGAATATTAATTATTTCTTTTAAACATGACACCTAACTTAGCATGTGAATTTGGTAATTAGGTTACTACCTTCATGGACGAGCACAAACGCTTGCTTGAGCAAATTGAGAGACGAGATGCTACAATAACCAAAGCACTGAACGGGTTACAGGTGAGAGCATATATTCAATCAATATGATATTCGATTATATCATGAAAAATACTAAGTAAAAACTGTATGCTTTCATCCAGATGATCAACCAAAGGAAAGAAGTGATGGAGAATGCGCTTTTGAGACAAATGACAGAAGAGATGCAGAACAGTCTTTCCAGTGTCAGCAAAAGAACAGGATATCAACCTCCGCCATACATAAATCCACCTTGGAAACCACCAGGCAACACTACCAACGTTAGCAACACTAGCTTATTAAGGAAGACGACTATTCCCAAAAGCCATGCCAAATCATCATCGATTCCAAAACTTACGCCAGCAAAGTCAAAGAAAAGTGCTAACAATGAAACCGCTTCTTCATCAACACCAACCCGCTTACCATCAACAGCATCGAGTGATGTCGGTAAAACGGGAAGCCGATTGATACCGCCCAAGTCAATCCGAGAATCAAAATGATAATTGAAGTCTGTTACGCATAAAGTACCTTCCAAAGAACAGAACAATTTGATCAATAGCACTATACAGATGTTGAGCAATGTGAAGCTCAGAGAAGAATTAACTTCTCGCGGTCAATTCTAGACGTGAACGATAGAGTCGGAAAGCGAGGCTGTTTGTTTACGATAATATATTTCGACCCAGACGGATCTGCTTACACAATGGTAAGAGTTGTGTGGTGTACATCGTCGAACAGTATGCATGGGTTGAGTGCTAATGATTAATAATACTGCGCGTGCTATTGCCATCATATCATAGCAACGACCGTGTCGTTGATTTATTACGTTTTAACCGTCATTGTATGTATGATATAATATTAATCATGTAGACGTGTTATTTTCGAAATCTTTTTTTTTGTGATTATTGGTTTATTGTATTAATTATTTGTGATACTACATTCTGATTTACTCAAAAATAATCATAAAGACATTTCTACATTCGTATCAGTCATATCTGATATATTTATGTCGTCAAGACATTTCACATTTTCATAAATGCAATGCAAATTTGATAAATAGTGTACATAGAAAACAAATGAATGATATTATATATTTCGACAAATACATATACACAACATATCGCCATCAATTATATGGCACAACCAAGTGATGCATGTTCCCATTATTATATTAAATCCACGAGTTGCGTTAGTACTTGATAATTCGATATCGAAATAGTTGGTGACGAAGAGAAGTGTTGAGAGAGTGGTTTTGTACTGAATACGAAGCATATGCGCTTAACAAGATAATATCACACTATTTTCAGGTGGTGGTGGCTTCCAAAAACCGAGAAAGAGTTTGTGTTAATGCAAATCCTAATCCTCAGCGCAAAAGCGAAACGTTTCCCTTGATACGAAATTGACGTTTGGGAATAGTAAAGGTCTATTCATTCATGAATGTAATCATCTCAGATGTTAATCTCAATCCCTTTTTATGCCGCTTTATTTAAATACGTTCAATTTATTTGTAAAATATTACAGAATTTGCAAGAACGTGAATCATATGCAAAATTCTTTGTAAATAATTATTATATCAATTATTGTACAAATTGGAAGATCCGAGTATAAAATATATATGTGTATAGTATCTATCTAGAATCCGGATGTTGGAAAACCAAGACAAGGTGATAATATTAGTATTGGCGTAGAGCGTTTCGTTGTTGTTTCACGAGATGCTTCAGCTCCAATTTATTAGCCCAATTTTGCCTCATAAGCCTATAAACCGAAGACATCAGGTAGTATAAGTAAATCGATCTCGAATCCTAACATGGTCAATTCGGCTTACCTCATCCGTTGAATCGCAATTATGGCAGTAACCACACATCGAAAACGGTTTAATAGAGGATACTCTTCACAATCATCATTTTGAAAGAGCCTTTCGTTACGGAGCATTATAGAAACTGCTTCTTGGCTGAAACAAAAAAAAAAGGCAAAAGCGTTATCGTGGGACTTTAATCGTTATACTTCATTACTGAATTTCACATTACCACATATCCGGTCCTCCGATTATCGCTATTAAAAAGTTTTTCTGATGGCAAAGGTCGGCCCGAAAACCGCGTTCTCGATGAACACTGGCCTTCAGGAACTTGATCTCATTGGAATAAATCTCACACTTGTCGGTCAACCGTTTTCGATCTCTGTTCATTTCCGCCTTGTATTTAACTTTTAATTGGGCAATTTCCGACTATCAAAATATTTACGTTTAGAACCAGAATTGCGTAAAAAAAATTTGTAAATAAAATGACAATAACAAACCTCCATATCATATCTTCTGTCATCTTCGACTTCCTGCACCCGGTTATGCAACTCTAGCAATTCATTGTTGAGCTTCATATTTTCATTCATCAAAAATCGCATCTCGTCATCGTCATAACTTGACACCTTTTAAAAACGTAAAGTAAATGTCGATTATATACTTAGATATCAAAATCTAAGGCGACGTATAATATCCATGCTTACCAAATTCATTTCTTGGAACCTTTGCTCGTTTCCTAGGCTGTGTTGTAAATGACTCGATTCTTTGCGGAGTTTGTTATACTGCTCTTGAATTGATTGCAACTGATCTTCATAACGTGACAGTTGTTCACGTTTTTCTTGATGATCACGTCGTTCGAATTGTAATTCTTCTGTAACAGTTTGTAACTGTACTTCTAGTGCCTTGACATGTTCCTTCTCTGCCTGTATATCTGAATCCATAGTCTCCTTCATCTGCACGTGAACATCCATAAATATTATCAGCTTTTATTTCACAACTGCAGGTTTGTTAGCTACCAGAAACATATAATGTGCAAACCCAATTACCTCATTTGCAATGAGATATTTTCGCTGTAGCTCGGACTTTTCCTTAAGTATTACGCTCTTCTCTTTTATTATTTTTGTTAATTTCTCCTTTACAATTTGAAGTTCATGCTGTAAATCCGCAATCTTCTGGGCAGAACGTTCAGCCGCAACATCCTTCTCTAAACAAATACGCACGCGATTTCCATTAATAATAAATAAAAATTTGGCTCGGAACGTTTACTCGCTATCCATCTCACCTTTTTGCAGCCTCCTAATACGAGCCTCAAGTTCAGTGACTGAAGAATTCTTTTTACGATATCTCTCTGACTCCTAAAATCAAATATATCAGGGACGGGCTGAAGCCACCAAAGGCAAAACAAAAAACACACCTTGTGAAAATTGTTTAGTTGCTGCCTGAGATCAGCTTTTTCTTTAACCCATAAAGCTTTCTCCAGAGTAAGTGCTTTTTTACTCGATATTGCTGATTGCAAATCATTCTCTAAATCCCTTATTTTTTCAATTAGTTTGTCATTTTCCTAAAGACAACATTATTAACCAATGTTAATTTTAATCAATAAACTTAAACTAGCATTTGCCCCTTGTGTTACCTTAGTAGACGACCGTGATGATGGTGAACTATCCGATCGATTCGTGCTACCAATGCTATTTGTGCTATTGATACTCGTTCGCCGAACATTACCCTGTTGGGAAACAAAACGGACAAGCTCGTCCACATATCCAATTGCTTGCGCGCTTTCTTGTAACGACATCTCTATTTCCTGTTCTCGCCTATTCGAACAATGTATTTAAAAATTCGCTAAAGAAAATCGGGATACACATAAATACGCGTCAATATTGACATACATGATACTCCTTGTTGATCTTCGGCTAGAACCAGAGTTTGCTTTAATTCTGTTGACACCCAAGGATTGATTATTCACTTTGGCTGACTGTTTCAGAGTCTCAGAGTGTTGCTTCCGTTTTTCCATCAACTCCATCTGACGAGCCTCATAATTACTTTTTAGATCTTCTATACTCTTGCTTAATTCGTCTATCTGACTCATCAATCTATCTCGTTCCGAAGTCAGTTCCTCTTTGCGAGATTCTAATTCGTCATTTTCCCTCTCAAGAACGTCGTTTTGTCTTTCCAAGTTTCTGTTTTGTTCACTCAACTCGTCTGACAGTTGATAATTCACGTTGATTAGCTGCTTGATAGTCTCAGACTGTTGCTTGCGTTGTTCAGTAATCTCCATCTGCCGAGTCTCGTGCTTTCTTTTCATGACTTCTGCATTTTTGTTCAAGTCATCTACCTGACTTATTAACCTTTGTTGCTCCAAAGTTAACTCCCTTTTTCGGGATTCCAATCCATTTCTTTGCTTCTCGAGAAATTCATTTTGTTTTTCAAGATTTCGGATTTGGCCCCCCAATTCTCTCAATCTCGGTTCTAATCTTTTATTTTCCCTTTCGTACTCTTCAATCCATTCATTACCTTGGCCGCGGGCCATTGCGAGCTGTTCACCGAGTTCTCCTACTTCTTTTTGTAAACTTTCCATCTGCTTTTCTGCGTTCAGGTTATTTTGTTTATTAGTTTTTAAGTCAGATTCTAGTTTAGAATTTGTTGATTCTAGTCTTTCAATCTCAGTACGCGCATCCATATTCTGCACCGACAATTCGTTTACTCGCTTCCTAAGCGATTCTACTTGTGCGCTTAAGCAGCTTTTCTCATCTTCAAAATTGTTTCGTTCTGTTCGAAGCTTTTCGTTCTCATCCTTCAATTCTTTCATTTGTTCATTGACGCTAAGACTCTGAAATGTAGTGCTTTTCCGTTCCGATTCGAGCTCCTTTTCAAGATCGGCTACTCGCTTGTTAAGATCGTCGACCTCTGCTAGTGCACACATTTTTTCTTCTTCGAACAAGTCCCGTGTGAGAGTCAAATCTTCGATTTGTATTTGCATCTCGGATACCTGACTCTCATATTCGGCCAACTTTGTCTTGTAATTAATGAGCTGTTCTTTAACGATCTCAAACTGTGCGCCAACATCACGTAAAGAAAGAACGCTTCGATCGTCAATGTCGTAATCAATCAGGTCAGATCTTTCGTCAGAGTCAACAGAAGCTAACTCTGCTGAGACGAGAGGCCCCGCACTTGACATAAGTGTGGTGTGTGGTTTTGAATTCGCGTCTTCGAGTTTGTGAATAATAAATTTCGCCCTTATTATTTGCGTAAAAGTTTGGAACACGAAACACTTGTTTATGTAGTACCATAAAAGCCTAGCACTAACTATTGTTAAGCATATCGTGTCTCGTGATGATAATAAAATAAACAATCTGGCCAAATGTACAGGGAAATGATCGGCAGTCAGTTCCAAATTTAATATTAAGGTTTACTATCAATAATTATTGGATGTTGGAAAAGAAGCAAAATTAAAAATCCAGGCTCTTCGTTCAACCTCTCTGGTTGCTTCTTTGTTTGTTTGTTTTTTTGTAGTCAAAAAAAAAATTTATATGATGGAACTTGCAAGAGTTAAAGTTTGCAACAGAATTTCGACTTTTATCGTCGTGCTTGTTGTTGTCTGATCATATATGTAGCTAATTCTGTAACTTCATAAAAGCTTGTAAACTTTCTTCTTATGCTGGGTTTCTTGCATAAATAGATACACAGATGTAATCGTGAAGTAGGGTGAGAATCAGTACAACAGGTCTTCGTAAATATTATGAGGAAACCGGACGAGTAATTATTACTTCCTTTGCCTCCAATGTTTGCCGTTTAAAAAGAATTATTCAAATTGCCAGAAAAAAAATGGATTTGTTAGGCTCCTCCTTGCTAAGAAAGATGAAAGCCATCAATAAGGCAAGTTTATGGAAAATAGACAACTTAGTATTTTTAAAAGCAAAAGTTGGTTATTACTATATTAGACTTGGCGAGAAGCTTAGAAGAGACAGAACATGATTCTTTTTTTAACATCAAGACATAACGATGAAACAAAGAGGCAAAATATTAAACTTTGTAGAGCAAACTGCTACGAGTCACATGTAAATACAATCAAAGTTAATTCTAGAACCGTGACGAATTTTGCAGAAATGTTTTTGCGATAAAAAAAAAACTTAAAATTTGATTCGTTCTTAACACATCATGCGATGCGTTTTGTTTTTCCAGTGTCGGTGAAGATATACTGATGTAAGTAGACATGTTTAAAATTTGATAAATCGGGTTGCTCTTTACATCCAGGGAATATGTTGATTTCTTTGAAATCGAAGCTCCAAAAAGGCGAAGAAAATAAATTTATTCTAAAATAGAAGGACGAAGAAACGACCTTTTTCTTAATGTTGATTATTCAACAGGATATACTATGTACTAATAAACGGATCTACCAAGCTGTAAAATATTTGTACCATCAATTGCTCTTACAAAGCTCATAACTGATTATTGAAACGACAATTGTTTTATTAGTTAGTCAAGTCTAGTCGAAATACCAAATCGAAGAAAGCGCCGATTTAATTTAATGATAGAATTTTTCCTTTCGATTTTGCGACAGAATAATTGTTATTGTTATTTTAATGTACATTCCTTATTTAATACGAGTAGGAAGTACTTCGTATAGGGAGATAAAAGCCGTTCTGACTCGCGTCGTACTTAACCCAGCTATCGATGTCGATACAATATAATGTGATTTTGAATTTCACAGCAATTAGTTGGCTGGGTAAGCATATACACCTCTGTTAAAATTAACTTTAGCGTAGCTGCTAACAAAGAGGAAGGATTAATCCAGGTCGCTTGGCAATAAAGCCATATTTTATATTGTATAAAATCAGACCACATGTCACTGATGCTTGGGACAGTGTAAACTCAGTGAGACAGTAAAAATAAAGATGGATCAGTAGACACGTTAACATCGTAATAGAATTTGTTAACTATGTTATCTACGATGTCCCACATATACAGTGTACAACAAAAATTGTTTGCAGTATAACGTTGATAAAGAACAGTTGATTTATAATAGAACAGGAATTTACATTACATCCAGAAGAGGTCGACGTATTTTTTTGGCTTGATTTTTTTACCCGCGAACCATAAGCGTAGAATTTGTGGCAAGACTATCGCTTGGTGATTATTTCTAGTTGGATCCCCCCATAAGGCGAAAATGGGTATTGTAACAAGGTCAAAGTTAAGCATATTAATTTTTTTCAAGTCGCAAACATTACTTGACGTTAAACACGCTTTCCCCGTTTTGGCTGATGATATTTTATTGCTGATAAACCTCTTCGGATATAATTATTTAGAAACAGGATACGAATCAACCATCTGAATCAGAAACGCGTAATCTATGTCTTATCATATCGTTTTCGGGATGAAAATGACTGTGCTCTCGCTGTATTGCATGACGAAAAAGACGCTTTTCATAATAAACTTGGCTCGACATTGAATCAGTCTCGCGAGATATGAGTGCTAATATCAGATTACAGTCATGTTTGATACGATTCTGTGAAAACGATTTTTGTACAATGATCAATTACGAATTACGCGTACGGCACATCATTAGATCATATGAGAAATCGGACAGCAAGCAAAAATTGTTGACTTTCATAGTAATCAATAATAATCGGAACTTGTAATACATGCAGATTTTTTGCGGCTATTGGATAATACACAGTAACACGACAGGTCAAATCGGCAGACAAAGTAATTTGTTCTAATTATTCTTGTGGCATAGAATCTTCGATATGTAGAATCGAATGATGTATATCTGTATTAGCTTTATTATTTATTGAGTGCGAAATAGTAAGACAGTATACAACCGCAAAGAAGAAAACGTCTTTAGAAGCATGATACTCAATATGAATATGACAATGACCGATTTACTTCAGCCGATTAATCTTTAATAAAATGATACGCCAAGCTCGGCTATTTCTCACAAAAAAAAAAGAATTTTTTATGTCTTATAATTATTTCGACGCTTTTCCTTTCTTTTTACGATCCTTGTTATCCTCCTCTTTCTGCCATAAGAATGACGAGAATTCTAACAACTATTCCGACCGGATCAGTAAACAGATCCACGGCGTGTCAGACGTCTGTAATATCCGCATGCCGCACGATAAATTATAGCTTGGGTATCATACAAGACTATAGAATAAATAAGATTTAAGCGTCATTGTGTAAAGCAGAGTCCAAAAGTGAAAGTCTAACCCATCTCTTATCCAGCTATCCCACCAATGTATACCTACTGTATCCACTAAATAAACAATCCAGTGTATAGTTATATGCTCCATAAGAGTTTGAATCTAAAGAACATGTTGAATACTTGTGACCACAGTAACAATCCAGTACCGATATGATGGACACGGTTTATTTTTGCCCAATGCTTGCGATTACTTTAGGAATCCATATAACCTATTGTTCATATCTGTTACTACCGTGGGCATTGTAATTCCTTGCATCTGTTGTTGCTGTTGTTGTTGCTGTTGTTGTTGTTGCTGCTGTAATTGCTGTTGTTGCTGCTGCTGTAATTGCTGTTGTTGTTGTTGTTGTTGCTGTAGGTGTTGTTGCTGCTGCTGCTGCTGTTGTTGTTGCTGCTGGTTCTGCGGATTATACATTCTAATCGCAGTAGCCAACTGTACGTTATTCATTGGTGCCAATTGCATGCCGTTCATCTGCATGTTCATGCTTTGCAATTGATTTACGTTAGCAACTGCGATCGTCGGTACCTGAATCCCTATCTGTTGCGGTGGCATTACCCTAATAGTATTAGTAGCTAGTCTTCCGTTCATCTGCGTCGCATTCAGTGGATTCATTGTATTCATCGCATTTAACGTTGTCGATGGAGCCGGATTCTGTAAATGGCCATGGTTCATCCTAGTTGCATTCATATGAGTCGGATTCAATTGCGTAACGTTCATCTGGGTAACATTTGGTATTGTTTGAGTTGTAGCTACTGGTACTGTTACTCCTCCAAGCGTCATACTAGCACTACTTTGAGCTGATCCAACAAGAGTCGTAGTCGAGCTTGCGGGAGTGGAGTCCATATGATCAATTGAAAGAGGGTGCGAAATTGGAGTCGCTTGGGCAGACATGACGCGCGTAGTGTCAATAGGAGATGGAAGCATGTCAGCGAAATATCTATGCTCCAGTGCTTCCTTGGCCGTTATCCTTCTATCCGGAACATACACTAACATCTGAGTCAATAAATCCAATGCATCCTTATCCATCATGGGCACCTGCGATTGTAACCCAGTTGGATTAGGGATTTTGTATCTATTCGGTTTGAAATCAAGAGATTGAGTTACATTAGGCCAGGTAACGTCATTCGGCACCCCCATGCATCTAAATATTTTTATGAGTTGATCTTCGTTGGTAGTACCCGGAAACAAAGGTCTCCCCGAATACATTTCGGCCATAATACAGCCGGCGGACCATATGTCAATTGAAGTGTTGTATTGTCTAGAACCAAGAAGAACGTCCGGGGATCGGTACCAGAGAGTGACAACTTCGTTCGAGTAAGTAGTCACAGGTATACCGAATGCACGCGCGAGGCCGAAATCGGCCAATTTCAGCTGACCGTGTTTGTTGATGAGCAAATTCTGTGGCTTAAGATCTCGATGAAGCACTCTGTTTTCATGACAGAATGCGATGCCTTTAAGCATCTGCTTCATAAATGATTTGATAACAAAATGATCGAGCGCTCCGTTTCTTCCATGTGTGTCCATGTATTTTTTTAAATCCTGATCCATGTATTCAAAAACAAGCATTAACTTATAGTCGGTGTGAATGACATCCATTAATCTGACAATGTTTTCGTGCTTGAGTTCTTTCATTAGGGATATCTCGCGTATTGCTGTCGATGGAGCTCCTTCTTCCGAATCAAGATTTATTTCCTTAAGTGCAACTATTTCACCTGAAAACACATTCTTTCCTTTGTAGACAGTAGCATATGTGCCTTCACCTAGTTTTTCCTGGCGTTCATATCGTTCTGCCATTATGGGGACTTAATAGTTTATAATGGAAAAGCAATAAAGAGAGGAGAAATCGAAGCGTAGAGGGAAGGGAAAGGGGGAGGATATAAAGAGCGGGCGGAAAAAAAGAATCTGGAAAAGAAAAAAAAAGAGATAAAGAAAATTATGCAATAGCAAATATAGGTATATTTATTAATAATGACTATATGTAAATATTATGCGGAGGGTTTGTTGTAAAGTGTTGGTTGGTCAACCACGGTGACCGATTGTCTTCCTCTGTGACTGGGCTGTGTCTGCTGTGATTGACACTTTGTAGTCAGTCTATGTACTCTTCGTAAGAGCAAGCGAGCGTTGATGAGGGCCTAAGTGCCTCTGATATAGAGAGGAGAGGGGTTTAGAAGCAGCAGATCATAGGAAGAGTGAAATAAGTAAATGACAATATCAATATTCAGGATGGATGATGTATAAATAGTATTGTGCTGGTATCATTTATGTTATTTGATTTTGTTCGTATAGCTTGTGAAACTTCAAGCCCAGTCACGTTCACATGAAGGGCTTTATTACTGCGGGGGTAACTGCGGTGAGATAACGCAGTCATACCACCACTCATTATAAATAAATGCGACAATATTGTTAATGTGTTTGAAAGTTAAATGGTTTTTTTAGTCGCCACATCCCGGTAAAAGCCGAAAGCGATTCTTTTTTTGTAAAGTTAAATCATGTGATATGATTTAGAACTTTGCAGTGAAACGGTATTAGGTATGCTTTTTGTTATTTGGGCGGACCAGAATTTTACCACGTGAACCCAAAATGGTTAGTACGGCTGAAAAATCGCCAATATTTATTAGCTGCGGCTTTAATATTAAGCATACAACGGTTTTATATTTAGGCCTTTGTTATACCAGAATGGCATTATGGTATACTAATAGAAACGTTTATAGTAGAATTGGACGATAGCACTAAACCGAGATTTGCTATGCTTTGCTTTTCTTTGCTTTGCTTTGCTTTGCTTTGCTTTGCTTTGCTTTGCTTTGCTTTGCTTTGCTTTGCTTTGCTTTGCTTTGCT